CGCGGCTTCTTCAGCGCCGGCCCGCAGTTGGATTCCTCCAAAGTCCTTTTGAAGCTGCCTGAGGGTGTCCTCTCCGCCTCTTGCGCTTTGCTTTGGCCGTTAGGAGACGCCCTCAAGGCTTTTTGGTCCGTGCCTGAGTTGGAAGGGGAGAGGCTGACTGACAAACCGTTGCTGTAGGGTTCGTGTAGCCTCAAAGCCAAAGCTTTGCTGCACTTCTCCTCCTGTGGGCTTGAATCCTTCGGGGTTCCTCCCGAGGGAGGGAAACTGCTTTTGGCAATCTCGTTTGGCAGCTCCGAGTATTTTTCGGAGAGCATGTTGCTGTGCAGGAGGGGAGGAACGGGCTCGGCGGAGTTCAGTCGTGGCCAGGGGTCATCTTCCAAGAGCTGGGGGAAAAGGAGATATATTTAGGCATCAATAGAATCACAGAGTGAAAGGGTTGGAAGGGACCTTAAAGCACATCTGGTTCCACCTCCTGCCATGGGCAGGGACACCTTCCACTGCACCAGCTGCTGCAAACCCCATCCAACCTGGAACACTCCAGGGATGGGCATCGTCCCTTGAGGGTGCAAACTGTGACACAACTTCTCCAAACCTTCTCAGAGGCAGAAAAATCCCACTCCAAAGCCAAGTCATCTTTTCTCCATATTGAGAGGCAGAAAACCAATCAGGCTGGGAATGTGAACTGGGACTTTGTGGACACCAACTCCATAGAAACATTTATCCCATCCACCCTCCAGGGCAGGCTCTAACCTCCTTGCTGAGGCTGCTCAGGCTCACTCCTCCCTCCTGCTGCAGCACAGTGCTGAGGGATCTGCACAAACTGCTGGCAAACAGCACTTTCCAACACGCAGCCACAACTTCTCTCCTTCAGACACTGCTACAGCCACTTCTGAGGATTCTGCCCATCCTCAGGTGGCCAAACAGCAGCAAGAGGCTCCTGACTTTGGCTATCACTGCACCCCCAGGTTATCAGAGCTGGGCAGACTCCACCACACCATGCCCACTGCCCACACCCTGTGCAGTGTCACAGCTATTCACAGCACTTACTGTTTGCTATGCAAACCAACGTGTTTTACTGCCTGGCTTTATGCTCCACAGCTGGCAAATCACTCCAGCTCCATCCCTTCCAGCACAGCCATGGCCTTCCCAGGAAGCACAGTCACCTCTCCACGCTGAGCAGCTGTTAATGATGTCCTGAGAAGAGCTCTGACCCTCCCTGCAGCCTCTCAGCCCTTCCCAAGAGTTTCTGCCTCGTGTTACCAACAGGAAAACGGGGACAACACTCCCTTCTCACCATCCACAGGGGGATTAGGAAAATTAGTGTTTATGCAGTGCCCCGAAGAGATGAATTACGACCTTATTAAAGATTTAATTGTAAGCAATCCCTGGGCACTCAGAGAGTCCTTCAAAAGTAAATTTCAAGGCCACGTTACAGCAGTACGAGGCAAACGAGAGGAATTATTTTAGGGAGATAACAGGCTGAAAAAACTCCAATGCCAACACTGAATGAGCAAAACCTCTGGTGCTGCTCCTTCCCAGCACTCACCTTGACAGGGGGAGTGCAGCAGCGTGAGGGAGTCATGCAGCTGGTGTCAGGGCTGCTGTAGCAGGGCCCCTCTGCCAGGTTGAGGTACAATTCCTCCTCACATTCCAGGCTGCCCCTGCTCTCCTGCGCGGGGGAGATGCAGATGACGATGGCGCTGGTGTTGTCCGCGCGCAGCATGCGCTGCCTCCAGCGGCCCAGGGCCCTGCTCACCAGCATCTTGGCACAGGACTGGTGGTGCTCTCCCTGGGGACAGAGGGACACACAGACATCAGGGACACTCCACAGCTGGAAGAGGCACAGTTTATCTGACACAGCACGAGATACACATTCCTATGTATCAGAGCTTCACTTGGAAATACAAGAGGAAATAGAAATTGAAATATAAAGAATCATAGACTCAACCAGGTTGGAAAAGACCTCCAAGATCATCCAGTCCAACCCTCCCGTGGTCACTAGCCCATGGCACTAAGTGCCACATCCAGTCTCAGCTTGAAAACCTCCAGGGATGGGGAATCCACCACCTCCCTGGGCAGCACATTCCAAGGCCTGAGCACTCTCTCCCTGAAAAATTCTCTTCCTAATATCCAATCTAATCCTCCCCTGGCAGAGCTTGAGTCTGTGCCCTCTTGTCCTGCTGCTGTTGCCTGGGAGCAGAGACCAACCCCCACCTGACTCCAACCTCCTGTCAGGGAGTTGCAGAGGGTGAGAAGGTCTCCCCTGAGCCTCCTCTTCTCCAGGCTGAACACCCCCAGCTCCCTCAGCCTCTCCTCATGCCACTTGTGCTCCAGTCCCTTCCCTAGCCTCATTGCTCTTCTCTGGACTTTGTTCTTCATGAAATATAACTTTAAAATCAGTTTATGGTACAACCACATAAGTGCTTCAAACCATAAAACCGTTGCCATGACTTGCATAAACAGCTTGGTGGTAACACAACCTACACTCCTCCCTCAAGGGGTTTACACACTATTTACTATCTGATGCTCCACCATATAAATTCTCAACTGTTTTGCAAAATAAACCAGAGAACAGAATCACAGAATATTCCAAATTGGAAAGGACCCACAAGGATCAGAGTTCAAGTTGAGTAATTTCACTCAGACTCCATACACATCATGTAAAAACAATTAACTGTCTGCATTGTAACATGTGCCTGGATGTGAAATAAGTTTCATTTCAGACAGTGCTTTGTGTAACTTCCACAGGGAAGGAACATGTTGTTATCTCTTTTATTACTCAGACACACCATCCTGGTAGTCAAATTTTCTCAAATGACAACCAAATCATTTAGATAATGTTATCTCAGATGGTGTTTGGCATCAGCCACATTGTAATAACTTCTGTATCGTGGCCAAACTATCAATGTGCCTAAACAACAAACCCTTTGTTGGCTACTTCTCCTCCCTCTCAGACTCAATTTTAGAGGTAAAAGGTATTGCATTCCCTCAATGCTCTCACCATGAAGTACTTCTTCTCCTCGTGATCCTGGCACATGGAGATGGCATCCTGAGGTGGGATCATGTTCCACAGCCCATCACTGCCAAGGATGATGTACTTGTGCTTCTGGGGATCGATGGTGTGCACACTGGTGTCAGGCTCAGGAGACACCACAAACTCTCCACTGTAGAAGTCATAGCTCCAGAGATCACCTGGCAGAGAAGAAATTGGGTTGGAATTGTTACATCACACGTGACAATCTCAGTATCTTGGAAAAAAACAGAAAAACATTCCCAGGAAAACCATCTCCACCAGTCTCCAGCAGCAACACAAAGTCATTCCAGCACTGTTACTGTTTGCTGCTGTTACCTTCCAATCACATCTAATTAACCAACTAAATCACCTTCAAATCATGTTCCTAACAGCTCTTTGCTCTCTTAAAACCAGTAGTCAGGGAAAAGGAGGAGATATAACAGATTAACACCTAGAATATGGCGAAACTTCCATCAATATCCAAACTGAAACCTCTCTGAGTGGATAAAGTTCTCCTCAAACAGAAGTTTGTGGTCCCACACCAGAGCTGCAAATATTTGTGTGTGCAGGTGCCACAGGGAAAGCACAAAGCAAAAGGCAAAGGAGGAGACTGAAGCCTTTCCCCTGCTAAATTCCCTCTCCTCTTCCCTCCACAGCATGAGCATCCCTTGCAGTGTCAGAGCCTCTTCCAGCTGAACACCACGTGCCAGATCTTGGAGCTGGAGAGAAGCCACAGGACACGAGCAGTGCCTGGATTCCAGCAGGAGAGCAGAAAATGAGAGCTCAAGCCTCTCCCTAGGAAGGCCTCACGCAGGGAACCTTTCTATTTTCGTCTCTCTCCCCCTGTGTGAATGAGTTTGGGGTCACCTCACCAGCACTGCAGAACACACCCCCGAGTCAAACCACCCCCCGGGCCGAGTGCTCCCTCCAAACAGCCTCCAGTGAAAACCTCTCCGTCAGAAAACTGCATTTCCTACCCATTTATTTCCATCTCGTTTATCAAGCACACTTGACAAAAATCAAACCTTTTCTAAGGCTGAGCCTTTAAATCAAGAAGGATAATGATTTGCCCTCACACCTCTCCTTGTTGATTTATTTCTATGCTCATAAACAGGTTCCTTTTACCTCCATTATTATTTGCAAGCAGTGGCTCCATTTTTCTGTGCAAAACACACAGCTTTAAAGGCAGAAATTAATTAAAACCTCAGAGTAGAAGAGCAAACAGAAGCTCAACCACTGCAGCTCAGGAGTCAGGTCCTGCCAGGCTCTCCCTTTGCTTTTCCCTGCCCTCAAAGCTTCCCCCACACCCTCCACCACCCTTCAAAGATAATAAATAAGCTTTTTGTCTTCCTACTTCCCTCCATTAGCTTCGCCTTAAGCCATCAACCAGTTGAAAAGACTTTTCCAGAATCAGGGAAGGGAATACTTCAACTCAATTACTGCACTCCAGCACAGCCAGCAGGGACAGTCCATCCTCATTAGAGCCCCAACAGCCCCACGAGCACACGCTGCTAATGAGTGCTAATTAAAAGCCAAGGCTGCTTGTGCAGAGGTGCACTCTGCCTCCACAGCCTCACAACAAAGCCAGCTGGCAACGAGACCAAAATAAATACTGTAACACAAGAGCTCAGCCCCAGCACAGCAATTATTGGATGGGAACTGCCACTCAGAGCTCCTCACGTCACCACGTCAGGGACACAGCAGGTAAAACCAACACGGGCTTGGAATCGTGGCAGCAGCACTTTCCAGCACTCATAGTATCTTTATGTTTTTATTCTCTAGTTTGGTCAGACTCAGAATGATAAATTTTATTAGCTGGATCCGTTTTTTAATTCAAAATACTGTGCTGGATGGTAAAAATAACCTGATGCTGTTTCATTTGGGTTCACCCACATCCATCTCAACATGCCCATCTGCTGCTCTTCCTGAGGGAACTGCCAAGGAACCATCTCACTGGTTTCAGGGAATCTTCCTCCAGCAGAGTCCTGCAAATTCTCTCAGCTGCTGGAATTGCCTTTTTTGGGATGAGATAGCCTTAAAAAAAGGAGAACCCTCTCCCCACCACCTTTTTGAGTCTTGCTGCCCCAACCCTGGCAGTGTTTCATTCCAGGCTGGATGAGCCTTGAGCAACCTGCTCTGGTGGGAGGTGTCCCTGCCCAGGGCAGGGGTTGGGGCTGGAGGATCTCTAAGCTCCATCCCAACCCCTTGACATACCATGATACTTGTGACTGCCCTGAAGAACAGAGAAAATTGTCTTTGGTGTTTATCTACCAACAGACAAATCCACCAACCTACAAATCCTCAGCAGAACTGAGCTGCACCAAGAGCACTTCCCTCAGAGTGACTCTCCCAGATGATCCCACTCTGAGCCCAAAAAGGTCAATCCGTGTCACAGGGTGAGGTACTTTATTTAGCTCTTTGTCTGCCCTAAGGGGCAGAGCAGCACAGACTGAGGCACTGCTGTTTGGAGCTCTGCACAGACCCAAGCCAAGGTCAGCTGTGTCCACCCTGTGAGCAGCTGGAGAGCAGCAGCCCAGGCACACACACAGCCACTTCCCAGGGAATGGAGAGCAAAGCAGAGCACACCTCTCCCTCAGCTCTGTTCCAAAGGCAGGAGACAGACAGTGATCCCTGGGCAGCCTGGGAAGCTGATCCCGTGACACTGCTCTGTGCCAAGGGCTGCTGCTGTTCCAGGCTGGAATGCCAGGCCCAGGCTATTCCTGTCCTCAATTAAAACCCTAACACCGACAAAACTCTTCACCACCACCTTCTCTCAAACCTGACACACTGGGAGTGCTCCTTGCAGCGTGAGGTTTGCCTCTTCCTTTTCCAAACCCAATGTTTTGAATCTAGTTCCTTCTGTATCTCCCAGAAAAATCATCCCTGCTCCTTAGTGCTGACCCAAGCCAGGGTGATATATAGCTACACAAAAATGGCACTGCACCTTAGAGAATGAAAACAGAGATGTTTGAAATCAGATACTAGAGGAGCAGGAAACTAATTTAGCTGCCTGTGAGAACATATCAAACTGTGTTTTCTCTCTTATCTGCTTACCCTTTAAAAGACAACAAAAAAACTACTTGTAAGTCAGCTGCTGCCAGGGAAGTAATTGAAGCTACAAACAAAAACATCCCTGTGGAAGCATTGGATTAAGCCCAAAGCCTTCCTAGAGCAAAAGCATGTCCAGAAGTCACATCAATCAAGTGTTTCATTTCTGTTTCTGGTGATGCTGTTTTGCATACAAAAATACCTTTTGGTTTTAATAGAGGAGAAAAAGTTGACTTTTTTAAGTCAGTCCCAAACTAAAACCCACTTTCATTAATCCCAGAGGTTTTCAAATCAGTTTTATCTCCAAGATCTGGTAGTACAAAGAGAAAAGTTGCAGAATTTCCTTCTTCCAGCATCAATGAGGCTCTGATGCTGGGGAAAGAGACACATCCCTGCAGGATACACACAGTAACCACTGGAAACCATTCAGGCTGAGCCACTAAAATCATGGCAAGGCAGGAGAGGACACATTCCCAGCAATGCAACCAGTGTCCCATCATTCCTGCAGCAGCTGTACACTGATTCCCTGCTACAGAACTCC